TTGGGGCCCAAATTTGAAATAGAGTGGATTAGGAGGATCATCTGACCCTACTAAACTACACTACTTCGAGTTTGTGCCCCGAAAATGGGCGGCGCGGTCGTACATATCGTCACGAACTTTGCCGCGCAATTTGCCGCGCGCACCCTCGGACGCACGTTCGTACCGTCCCCCGATGTGTGAAAGCCAAGCGAAATTCATGGTGATAGGAACGGCATTAGCGTCTATCATCTTGGCCCAAAGTTGAAGTAAAAAAGATCATCGGGATCAGTTAATCTTACTGATCTACTTTGCTTCTAATTTGGGCTGCTATGATAAACGCCGCAGTCGCCCAAACTCGCCACGAACTTCGCCGCGCAATATGCCGCGCGCGTCCTCGGACGCACGACTTGACCGTCCCTCGGTGCGAATAGCTGACTACGGTAAGCAGAAATCCATTTACTCATAGGCACAAGTTAAGAAAAAGTCCTAGCAACAGCAAAAATGGCCGACCTTTTCCAGCCTTCTGAGGTAGGAAATCAAACAGAGGATCGCAGCAGCAAAAAGAATACCAGGTGTCGCACTCTGTATCGCCTCGACACTCGCCAGACGTGACACCAATCGAGGGGCGGGAAGTCTGGGCGATCCGGTAACGGGGCTCCCACTGTGCCCTAGTTGTTGAGTTTTTGGGACTCGTTAGCGTCTTTACTGTCTGTACTCGTGAACAGCAATCGAAACTTTTTCAAAACACCTAGGTCTTCATTCGGAACTCTGTGCGAAGTTGAAACCCCTCTCTGGTAAGACGAAGTTGAAACCCCTCTCTGGTAAGACACGTTCTGTGATAAACATCTCAGCCCGAACGACCACTGCGACCTAGTGTCTTTCTCTGGGAGTAGGAGGTATTTTTGCTGGTTTTGTCATCAACTTAAGTAACAACGGCTCCTTCCAATTTTGGACTTTCTTTCTTTTCTATTTTTTCTTTCTCCTTTTTCGGCAATTTCACTGAACGTTTTTGATAGGCATGATAGCATATCAATACAATTATGCAATAGTTTACAGGTGGAGACTACCGCTTCGAGAAGGTTCACCTTCATCCACTGCGGCGAGCGCAACTTTGCAAAGGCACCGCCGTTACCGTTTGTGAAGCCATTTCGTTGGCTACCACTTCGAAGAGCTTCAACAAATGACGGCTTTACAAAGAAGCCCGGTTTTCACTCCTGTGAAGGCACATTTCGTGCCATCACAGCAACGTGGTCGTGATGTGGCCGTTTATATCTTTCCTGATGATCACGAACTTTGCTATGAGTGGTTCTGTCAACTGCAGTTGGTGGATGGCGTCACATTGTTATACATGTGCTGTGGTTGCAAGTCCTTAAAAAGTCGTGATCCACGGAGGTATACGAAGCCGGTCGCATCTTGCCGTATCGTTGACGGCTACTTCACTACCGATCCTCGGAATCCCAAACGACCGCACTTCTGCGAGCCTCGCCTCACAACTAAAGCAACAGCTCGACGTCTCATCATAGGAAAATGCAATGAACTGAGAGATGGTACTACTGGAAGCCGACCGGCCGCGCAGGAACTAGACGAATTACTGGCGAGGATATCTTCTGAAGAGTTTGGTAAGCCTGACATTTTTCTCCGTTGAATTATTTCTTGCTGTGCACATATGGGATTTGATAGGGTGTTAGCAGGCGGATTTATTTGTCATTGGATCAGTGCATACCCTGAGCATTCCAAGCACCTCCTAATACACAGAAGCAGTGAAAGCAAATTCAAATGAATGTGGGATACGCTAATAAATAGCTATGTGATTTGTTACAGGAGGCTTCTCAACAGAAGAAAGAGCAACGATGGTAAAACAAATAGTTTGTCCCAGTGAATACGGCAGGGATAATGCTCGAAGAATAATTCAACGAGCGCAGCAACGGGCACGACAAGGAGATGTAAGTTTTATAACTTTTGCATATTTTCAATGTTTGTAAATGCGAGTTCAATGTGCGAGGTGAGGTTTTGTGACACTCTTATATTCGTTCATTGAAACTGGCTCATTCTATTCGTGAAGGATTTTATTCTCAGAAGTCTTTTTACTCTTTTTTATACTATCGTAAGTTTATCCATGCATTACTTTTTGATGTATCAATTTGTTACTCAATTTTGCGCTCAAAGTTAATGTGCTATTTTTTGTTTCCCGTCTATATAATCAATTTAGGCTCAAAAGTATCTATTAGCAACGAACAACCAAATTGATAGCCATGAGTTGTCTGGGAATTCACAGGTCTTTAACAAAGATGATATGTCTGTCAAGCCAAGAAAAAAATGGCTTGTCGCCACCGTGCTAAAGTTGAACCCGGGCTATAGTTTGAAATCGAGAAGATACTGCGTTTANAATGCGCGAGCCAAGCGAATATCTTATTTGGTAACCGGTGTTAAGCTAAAAGCTGTATTTTTGGATCGAAAATCGGGCAGTCCTCAGGAGTAGTAAAGGAAAAGTCCTGGGACGTTAATCAATTCTATAGACAGATGCGCCCACGCATTCGGCTTCCATTCAAAATCGTGTGACATGTTGAATGTGTATGTGACCTATACAATGGATTGCGATCGCCAGTCGATGTACAAGTCAGTGCTTTTATCCTCTCAGACGGGTCTGGCGCTACTTAACCGACTATGAAGAGATGGAGAGCACGGTTGGCCTGGGCGAGTAGCGATCCGGGATTCGATCCTGTGGCCATGCGTGTGGGCCACTTGCCACCACACCACCTTCGCCCTCAGTAGTAATAATAATTAGTAATAGTGATTTGTGATTGTTTCATGATACATGAAATGGAGAAGTGCATTTAAGTTGAATATTGGAAAGACCTTTCTCTTCCGATTCCCATACTTCTCCTTGACCCACCCAATGGGAATAATGCAATCTTTCCATTTAGATGGTGTTCCTTGCTTTGATGCTGATTGATTGATGTAATGATTAGTGCTATCCCGTGGTGCTACACTATTAGGAACTGTAATACTTTAAAGCGACTAAAATGCGAAGGAAGTAAAAGATTAAGCACTCGCTCTCTAGACACTCGACGTCTTGCAAAAATGTACGAATTTCATCCACATATTCAGATTTCCACTGTTTCTACCGATAACAATGACGCAGACATAGATGCTCAACATGGCTTATTCGTTTACGATCAAGTGAGCTTGTTGTGCAGATTGCTGCGGACAGTTTCGTCCATCTTTATCTTAACCAAAATACTATGTATTATTACATCAAAGCTTGCTTGAAACCCGAAGTTCATTTTACGGGTTCCGCTGTCTATAATTCAATCGAACTCGAGGTCTTTGTTACGTAAGATGCTCGTCATTATTGAACCGAGTATGCAGTTCAAACAATTTTCGGTATTTTCATTTTCGGATGCTTAATGCGTATGAATTGGTTTCGTGATTATTTGAAAATCTTGCGTATAAGAACATCCACTTCAGACCAGCAATAAAACCGATATAGCAAAGTTACTTTTTTCTATATATTTTTCTCTTTAATATTGTGTCATGCAATGAAGCTAACTTTTTTTCCAGAAACCACCAACACCTAACGTGAAACTCTACCTCTGCATCGTTTGTGGAAGATTTCGCGATTTTTCTTGCACTCAAATACCGCCATTTAATCGTCGACATGCCTTGGTGTTGCTAACGGCCATGATGAACTACAAGAACATGAGCGTAGAATCCGCCAAGAAGGCTTACAGCACGTATTCCCTGAAGCAGAAGACTATTTGCAAAGAACACTACCTGGAAGCTGTGAGTGATAAATTTTCTTGTAATTTGTATTGTGGTTTTTTTAATGTTTTGTACACCTGGCCGACATCGTTTTTTCTACTGTGAGCGACGGAGCGATTTGGAGCTTTTAAGTAGAAACAAGATATTACCGCGTAGACGGTTTTCCCGCTGGCGCAGGGCTCTTCTCTTCGTTTTTTACCGATCCGTGTTGCTTGAGTGAAACCAGGCTCATTTCCAAGAAAAGGAATAGTTGATTGACAGACTGACTGATGATTGGCATTAATGGGTGCTTCTTTTGACTGTTGTCCAACCGAGTACAGTACCTTTCAGAAGTGATCGTTTGGCTGTGCGGTAAGAGTTAGGACATAGTAATCAGCGCATGGACTTCGGTTTTTTGGACTGGCTAGTGGCGGTTCACTGGGAATACCTCACGTACTCGTCGGTTAGCTTACCTTGTCGGGCCAAGGAACGTCAAACTAAAACATTTTAAGGTGACTGGGTCGAACTTGTTTTGCTCTAGTGCGTTGTCGTAGTTGTAAACGGAGTCAAAGTATATCTGTAGAAAAGCCAATTTTTGGAAAGACTAAGTGGACTATTTTTTTGTGAGACTAATTGGTAAGGGAGAAGACTAAACTTTTCCATGTTCTGGGATGTTTGAACAGTCGAAACTAATCCGCATTAACAATAGTGTATAAGAAAGTGTTTTCTCCCTTCTTCGCTCTGAAAGCTGATGTGAAGGGGTCGTTTCTACCAAAAGTTCCCGTATATAGTTCTATAAAAAACACCTGGATTAAATTATACAAACATTCGAACATTTGTTCAAGTGAACGCCTTACTTCTGCTTTCATTTGCAGTTGTCGCACCTGGTCGATTGACAATGGTTTGGCACATTTATTGTATGACCCTTTTCACTTTTAATTCGAGAAACATTCAAGAGAATGTTGCCAGAGATGTAAAAGGTGCCTGTGAGTAACTCAACTTTGATGGAAAAGCCCGAAAAAAGTGTGAGGCAACACGTTGTTCACAAACTGCACACCCTATACAGTAGCGCTCAGAAGTCTCCGGTGAAATAGTTCTTCAGCCGTACTTTTCAGTCGTAACTCCTTTCCTACTGGATCTAATCATGCAAATTTCTATATTTGGAGGGTATTGTGAATATTCACCACCATTAACCTGCAATCCGATCATGTTCCAAATATTCCAAAGAACATGAACTCAAAATCGACTGAAAATACAGATGATGACCCTTCTAGAATCCCTCTCCTTTTTGTCATGTCTAAAGTGTACGAGCGGTAATGCCGAACACAATAGATGAGAAAAAAGCTCATCCGGTGCGAGTAAGTGGAGACGTCAAAAACTTTAGTTTCAGCAAAATCTGCTACCGCAACAAGCACCTTGCTCTACCTGTGGATATTGCAGCTTTGCAGTCAAATAGTGCTGGGTAGGGTGAAATATGCTCTAGTTAAACATATCCAAATTACACGCGATTTGATCCACTAAGAAAAAAGTTATGAACGAAAAAGCGTCAAAGCATTTCACCGAAGACTTGAGCGCTACTGTACATGCTGCTTCCTGCAACCGGAGACAAAGCAGTCATTTTTCACAACATTGAACATTTAATAGCCACGAGTTGCACAGGAGCCTGATTTTCATCAACATATGCTACCTGAACCAAGAGCTTTTCACAAAATTGAAAATGTTACCTCAAATTGTTGATTTTGCAAAACCAGAGCCCCATTTGTTTTCATGATTCGACCATGTGTAATGTAGTTAATGAGCGCTTCATTCCGCGTTACATAAGTCATTATCCCCTGTCTTCTAATCCTACCATTTTAAGGGCTTTTAAGAGGTAATTTTGCTCAATATTCTCATTGCCAACTACTTTGGTGTACGAAAAAGTAGTTTTCTCTCTCATTGATTTATTAAGGCTTCGCTGCTCGAAAGAAATGTGTTCGTCGATATAGATCGACAGATTAGCAACGTGATTACGTTTTAGGCTGCCCCTCTTCTAACCAAAATGGTGCCGACAACAGATAATATTCCATTTGATACTAACTTGAACGCCTTGCATATGAGCGAAGAGATGGTGACAGAGGATGTTGTGGCAGCCCTGAATGATAAGCTTTTGTTGTTCGAAGTGAGTGGATACATTTCGGAGGCATTATCACATGTTGTCCAATTTAATGTAATGATTTTAGGACAAAGAGAGGATAACTGCAAAATGTGTCACACTTTTCTTGAACGATACAATCGGATATTGTGTCGAAAAAAAGAGAGGCAGAAGAGGAGGAAGGAGAGTAGGAACAACGGGACAGCTGAAATCTGTTAAGGTGGTTTTATTTTTCGATGAAGAATTTCTAACCGGGCTTCGTACGACGAAATTGCACCAAAATCTACAAATTTACACAGATGCGTTGTTTCGCAGATTCCGAAAGAAGAAGAACTGAGCCCGCAACCAGAGTATGAGAGCACGGGAGAGATAGACGTGGAGAAGGTCTCATCACCTGCTTTACAAGGTTCATCCGCCACCAACACTGTCGATGATTCAGAAGTCATAGTTATTGTAAGTCGATTAGAAAATTGTCGCATAAAAAGCTTGGCTGGACTCGACTCATACAGCCGATTGCACCTTTGAGCATGCTGTTTCGAACCCAAAGCAATCGCTTGGCAAACGATATTTCATGCTTCCTTTTTCTTGTTGTAACATCAAACTCAACTCTTCAAGTTCTATAAGATTTTATCGCCTGTCGTTCTTTGACGACCAATTTGCTCGAACGTGAGACAGTAATATCTCCGTTTGTCTCGTCACGAGCCCCGGCAGTCTAGTGGTTCTCTCCGTTAGATGGATACGAGATATAGCATTCTTCTCTTCAGTGCTTCGTGAAGAGGTCTGACTGCGACGAGGTAATCTCATTCTAGTGTGGTATCTGACGCTGTGGTCGTATGTTCTGGAAAGTCTCATGCTTCTCGATTGGTACGTCGTTAAGTGGTTATCAAGTACTGTCTAGTGCCTTTTCTCCGCTCTACTCTCGCTGTCGTGATTCGATCTATAATGGGGGTGGAAAACTCTTTAGACATTGTGGTTTAATCCTATGGGGACCGGGCGCCAAACCATTCTTCATTGACATATCGAATTTCGGAAGGGAGAACCGAAGGAGCGATATCGTATTGCCTAAACTGGTCGGAAGGCAGGTGGATGTGGCCGTCGAAGAGATCCGAGTAGAAGTCGTAGATGACCTTTTCCATTGCCCTTCGAGATGCAGTAACTGTTCCGTCAGGAGACGAAGGAAGTCGTCGTGGTCTTGTAATTGGCGAAACTCCGTCGGGCTTCGCGAATGCTCTTTCCGACCTCGGCGGCTTTTCGTAATTGCTGCCCATCTCTCTTTCAGATATTCCTTTATCGCTTCTCTGCATAGCTTCGCTTCCTTTATCGCTTCTCTGCATAGCTTCGCAAGTTTGGACGTTTGTTGATGATTGACTGCAGCTCGTGCGATTCCACGCTAGCGAATCAGCTCAAGAGTCTTCAAAGAGAGTCGTCTCTTGGCTACTTGTAGACTCTCTGCTTTTCTAGCACTAGCGTGAAGGTGTTCGACGGACTGGTTGTATTCTTGGCTCATAGCTCTCTCTCCACTTACTGTGACACGGAATCTAGCGCGGAGGAAACGGAGGTCTGATCTCGTGTAGAACTTCGAACAACAGCGACATGGCAGGTAAAACCTCCACTCAAAAAGGTTCATTTTGTTATGGAACTGTCCATCAGGTGACTCCCAAGTTCATCGTGGGAAGGCTCCTGAACTGTGAGTTACCATGGATTGTGTGGGTTGACATGATAAACTCGGACAGCTTTCACCCTGCTCATTCCATCCCATTCCGTGAGTCCCGATTTGGAGCTCCTCAGCCAGTCTTCTTGGGCCAGTCTTGGCGTTGGAATCACCGAACCTCAAAGAATGTATGGTCTTCACTGTAGAGTTTCTTCAGATCCATGTAAAACGCTACCAACTCCGCTTCTTCGTAGCTTGATGTTGGTGCGTAGGCAACGAAGATTGTTAGAGCTGGGATCTTATTAATCGCAAACCTCCGATTCGGGTTGTCAAACTTTTGTACGGATCGATGGTTATGGCCATGTGCATATTAACAAGATCACCTTTGCCGCCGACGTCTCTGCTGTCGCATAACCCAAGGAACAGTTCTTCTCCAGTCTCAAATACAGCATGCAGCGGGCGATGCCTTCTCGTCTCAGACAGTCCCGTGACGTCGTACTTGATCTTCTTAGCTTGCATCAGCAGATCTTCTATATATGCTTCCGATGCAAGCGTCCATGCGTTGAGAGTACGTCATCTTAGTCATTCTTCTTTTGGGCAATCTGTTTTGGCCCTAAGATTTTAACAGCTTCTCCAACGGTGCCATATTGGGGACTCCCTCAGGTTCAGGGGAATGAGGCCCATTCATGTTACTGTTTTGGCAAATGGGTATCCAACATGTAGCTTGCCACTTTCTGAAGTGAGGGCTGGACTGAACCGCCTTCCTGATATTGAAATATACTGGGTGTTCCTGATTTCCTGGTCCTATAGACTTAAAATGTTCGCATTTGAAAGGATGCGGAATGGGAGCACTGATAGTAAGTGATAGGTGTGAACTTCGCCCACTGGAGTCGGTAGTGCGCGAAACTCGTTCAATTGGGACTAGAGCGTCCTAGTTTGAGAAGGATCGGCCGTTATTATGTGGACACTGATGGCAGGTGGGAGGTATAGACTCGAGGCTGGTATGGCGGAGTGGGCAGGAGGAACTTAAAGGCACAGTTAACGATAATTTTGGGTAATCCGGATTATGATGAAAAATGGAAGACAAAATCGAAACTAGTGCGACTGAGGTGAAGAAACTGAGTGTATCGGCGTTTCCAAAGTGAAAAAAGGCTTCGAAAAATGGTTAAAAAGGGGGCTGGACGAGAATGGAACCTGAAAAATGAAGAAGAGTGGGGCGTCCGGAGGAGCTAAACAGTGTGTTTCACTGCGCGGTGGGTCCTGGTGCGAATAACAGACAATGGTAAGCAAAAATTCATTCACTTATAAGCATGAATAAACAAAAAAACCCTAGTAACAGCAAAAGTAGCTCACCTTTTTCAGCCTCTACAAGTAGGAAATGAAATAAGGGATCGCGGCAGCAAAAAGAAAAACAGAGGAGAAAAGAATGGGAGAAAAACATCCGCCTCATCANGTCCTGGTGCGAATAACAGACAATGGTAAGCAAAAATTCATTCACTTATAAGCATGAATAAACAAAAAAACCCTAGTAACAGCAAAAGTAGCTCACCTTTTTCAGCCTCTACAAGTAGGAAATGAAATAAGGGATCGCGGCAGCAAAAAGAAAAACAGAGGAGAAAAGAATGGGAGAAAAACATCCGCCTCATCACTCGGCGATTAGCTGATTGTGCGTGGATCCTAGAACGAATAGTAGCAATCTGTATTGTCTCGACACTCGTCTAACGTGACACCGATCGAGAGGTGGGAAAGCGAACTACGGCAGCAACGGGGCTTCCACTACGCCCTAAGCGCCGAGATTGTGGGAGCGAGACGCTCCTTTCTACCACCCATGGGGTGCGCTGAGTATTCCTAAAGGAAGAATTCAGCAACCTTTTCATCGTGAACCCTGCCTTTAAATCGACGCTCCTATCCGGAAGCCTTCCAGATTATACACCATTCACAGCTATGCCCCATTCAGACATGGAGCATTCACGTGTCCTAAGATTCATGCTGCGGTAATGTTGGCCCATAGCGGCTGCTTTCATAGTCCACGACCAGTCGCGCGATTGGTCGTCATCTCGCGTCTCGTCCTCTCTCATCTCGCGAGCGACTGGTCGCTCGACTGATCGCGCGATCTGCTCGGGACCGACCACGGCGGCACCTATAACTAGCGCGGCCTCCGCGAGCGATCGAGCGACCAGTGGCGCGATCAGTCGAGCGACTGGTCGTGGACTATGAAAGATGCCAGCCGGTGCTATATCGATCTGTTGTGTAATTGACTGATAAAACACATCTTTTTCCTCTTTTGGTGTTACAGTGTTCCAACCCCGAGCGGGGAAGTGATGGGGTGGGAATATAGCTGTGATCTATAGCGATCTATAAAGCTAACGAATTTTGACTAGTGCCAATTTGTACTACTCGGTGGGTGGCTGCTAACAACAACATTTTTGTTAGGCAAAAAGGAAAGGATAAACGTTTATTGGTCTGGTTCGCTTGCCACGTTGTTCGGCTTTTTTTGAAGTGACATTTTCTTGTAAGCAGGACTCAGATAACGTTTTTGTAACTTTTTGTTTAGGTTATAAATATGGTATTTTTTCAGGACAGCGAAGAACCTCACAGCTCGAACGAGGTCACGGAATTCATTTCAACCATCTCGGAGCCAGTGAAACGTGAAGTGAAGGAAAGGCCTTCTAGGACAACACCGCGACATAACGCACCTATAACGGTAGGGATAACGGTCTTTCCATTATGGTCAATTCTTGAATGATGGCAACACTAGAAAATTTTTTTGTGTAAGGTTCGGCTTTCCTTACGTAGCGAAGAGAGGTGTACTCAGCAAGTAAGGTAAGAAGTGTGTCTCGCTTACAGAATGAATACTATTACAATGTGTTTTCTTTCATTTCTTTAACCCATTGGCGACCGTACCTTTTATACTGACCTTGCATTAGCTTTTAATTTCTCTTATAACTGTAGTTGGAAATGAATGATTCCTTGACCACAATGCCTTAAGATTCTCTAGAAGGCTGTGAGCTCAGCTGATACTTGAAAACATGAAAAAAATTATGANAACACTTGATAACTAATATAAATACTACATGAGCACGATATGGTGTGGCCCGCCGGCGGGCCACGCGGTCGTCAATGGGTTAAAACTTCTGCTATGATGCTTATGCTTTCACGCACCTTTTTTTTTCCAATGCTTTTGATTGTTGGTGAGGGATTTGGACAGGAGGGGGGAGCGGGATGTTTTTCAAGACTGTTTTTGAAAGCCTCATTACTTAGCTTATAAGGATGCTTCGTGAGCTCTACAATAACTTCACGAATTGTTGACTTGAAGAGGCTTTCGGCAGAGTGATGTAGTCTTGACCCAACTTAAGTGCCGCTTTCACTTCCAGAAAATCGCATCTCATGTGGAATAGGAAGACAGAGAGAATGCCGATGACCACTACATTGTTATGCCACCATATGCGCTTCATACATGACATCGTGCCTATAACACGGAACAGCGAGCAGGTTAAATAAATTTTGGCCGACTCAGCAACGCTTCTAGAAAAGTCGGTTAGCGAATAGTCCAACAAAGAAGAGTTTATGGGGTACGGATTGATAAATGATGCTGCTTCTACGCTTAACGGAATGGACATTTCAGACGCTCTAGCTTTGAGTACCTCGATGAAGAAGTCGGTGATGAGTAACCTAGTCCCCGAGCTGAGTAGTAAGTAACGAGTGGCATGGTGTGCAATGAAGAGCATCGAGGGAGTAGGTAGAAGACAAAGAACATCCGGCTCCGCACTTACCTTCTCTACATTGCTGTTTTTGCCTGTTTTGACATACGACACAGAAGCTCGGACTTCTTGCGATCAGGCTGAGCATGCAGTAGGCTTCGTCGAACGCCACGTGGATTAAAAGACAATGCTATTTCCTGATTCATGCAAGTGCGTAGGAGAATTTGGAGTTCCAATACTCGTCAAACTAAAGTCAGAGACGCAGTTGCTTACGCCAGGTATGTCGTGCTATTTTGTGGTGAGCGTTGGACCAAGGAGGTATTGACTGGGACCCTTTCGACGACAAAAAACTCAAGGAGGGCGATCGTCAGATTCCTCACGAAAGCTTCGAACGGAAGAAATGCCATGCCTTGTTTTTCCGCGCGAGGACAGTTCTTTTGACTGAGTTGGTATGCAACAGGGGCGAATGAAGATGCTTCGGTCGCCGTTTGAGAAAATCGATGAAACGGGCGACAGGTGATACAGGTGTCGTGTTTTTGAAAATATGAAAGAGCAGATGATCACTTGAATCTTTATTTGAATTGTCTAGTAACGTGTGGCAAATACACATTACTAGACTAATCCAATTTTCTTCAATTCACGTTTAGCAACACAAGTCATTGACTCTTATTTCAGCAGCGCTAGATCGCATAAGGAAAATGAAGTTTCCTAAAGTATCAGAACTTAAAGGGTGAGCGGAGTTAAAAGAAAGGCAAAATGTGTGTAGGATAACAAGTTTATTCATTCCGTAGCACACGAGGTTAAGTGAAATTTCTTTGGCTAGCGCACAGTCGCTGTAAATGTTAGGCTAAGCGGAATTCAGATCAGCCTAATATAGCGCCTGTCATCCCGCCGGTTGGCAGACTCTGCTGACCTGGACGGCTCAGAAGAAGGCGAAAATCATCAAGACGTTAGCCGATGGAATTGCATTTAACCTTGGGTACGGTTCAGTAAAATAATCTTGTGTAGGAATTATGCTCAGGTTTATCGAGAGTCCAACGTGGTGTATGATTTGTGAAACATGCATATATAGCGGATGTAGTCATAAGTCAGGCCCACTTCGCGGTCTTCTAGTCAATCTATCCATTAAGAGTCTTTCATCTTTTTGTTAATCAAACAAAATCAGTCATGTGTTGAAAGACAAAAACAGTCAATTATAAGCTAGTATAGTTGATATAGGTGCTCTGCCTACGAGCATAGATGCTCTGCATGCACCTATGTCAAAGATAACAGTTTTTCANAAAGACATAAATGGTTGGCTCTGATCATTCTTCTTGAATTCGAACTTTCAGGCGAAAAAGATGATGGAGACAATTACTCTAACACCGCCTACACTTCCACTCGACGAGATTCTCAAATCGGATGTACCTTGGTTAGACAGGATGTTCGTTGTCGAAGGGAGGCAATTGCTTGAACTGTTCCGCTGCTGTCCACTTTGTAGGACAGATATGGAGGCTAGTGGCAGTTCGTTCCATTGTTCAGCCGAAGGTGACAATCCAGTAGTGGATGTGCATTGTCGAGTTTGTTTGGAGAAAAGAGGCAATATTGGCCGATGGAAGGGTCAACTCGGATCTCAATTACAAAACCAGTAATGAAGCTGGGCACTTCGGTGTTCTAGTCTATGTAATCATTTGGTGACAAGTTATTGTGGCCTTCTAGGAGATGTTAAGTAATGGTAGTTGCGCGAAAATGTTGTTTTAATTTCTATCATACATCACTTCATGTGTTATTACCAGAATATCTACATAATTTAGTATCCGCATCTACATGATTTCCACTTTGATTGATGCTTCATTTCTACTGCTGTTTGCTTATTTTCTGTCCGCCCTGGCAGTACAAAATGTGTGCGTTTTGGCTACTTACAGGAGGTATAGTATTATTTTCCGCTTCTGTTCGTCCATGTTTCCTTCACCATGTGAATCCATAGTCCTAGAATTTTCGTGCACGAATGAGAAATTCTTGAGGTTGAAGAAGTGATCATGATAATAATGATCAATATCCAATGGTAAGTACTTGTTGTAAATTACAATTACATGTCTAAAGCAATTAAGCCATGACTAAAAATGCCAAAACGCACACATGTTTGATTGCAATTTTGTTTGTTTTGATTAATACTATTTTTATGGGTCGATTTCATTTATGAAATATCGATGATGTTCACGTAATGAATATAGTTGATTGATAACTGTCGACGGTTGAGACTGCTTGGAAATTCTCTAGGTTTTGTTTTTTGTTTTGGTATTTTTCAGTTTTTATTTATAAATTTGGCACTATTTACCCTTTGCTGCCCCACTTTGTCGAGAACGGGCTGGATTTCTAACGAATTTTTTTCAAGAAGATGAAACCGACTAGAAAGTTGCCTATCAAGGGGAATTTGACCCATAGACCACGAATATCGCATCCACTCGTCATAAAGATGCAGGCGCCGGCGCCAAACGGAGTTGGGTCACCAATCTTGCTGAAAAGTTGCCCCTACGTATGAAGTACGAAGTTTTCATGACGAATGGATGCAATATTCGTGTTCCACGGTTCAAATTACCCCTCTAGGCAAGTTTCTAGTAGGATTTCATCTTCTTGAAAAAAAAAATTCGATAGAAATCCAGCTCATTCCCGACAAAGTGCGGCAGTAAAAGTAAATAGTGCCATAAATTTATACGTCTCACAAGTAGATTCACATCAGGAATTATAAAGCTGAGCAAAGTTCTCGAAAAGATGCTTGGAGGGGAGCACTACGCCTAAAATAACAGTGACGCGCCAGCGTACTTGCGTATTAGCCCTCGCGAAAGGGAACAGGTTGCGCCGTGTTCGGGTTCCCATGATGCGAGATTTTTTTCAAAGATAAATATTCACACTTTGAAACAAAAACGAAAAGGAGTTAGACAGTCGCAAAAAAAAACGAGTGAGCTGATAGGTGAGGGAACTAGTTTGTGTTGTGGCAATAGGTGCACTATCTCACAGGTATAGTCACGGGTTCGAATCTCGGATCGATATGCGTCTAGGCCAACTAAGGCTTCCACCTTCCGGGGTCGGTTAATTAGTACCAGACTCATATGGGAGAATGAAAGCACTGACTTGTACTCCGGCTGTTCACCAAGTCATTGTATAGACCAAATACGCATTCGTTCCAGGACTACGATTCTGAATGGAAGTCGAATACCTGGAGCCATCTCTCAGACGGGATTGATTAACCCTTTGACGACAGTGCCGATTTCGAGGTGGCGCGCCCATGGGACCACGCTCCCCTCCTTCCGCACGCGGGGAACGGTACATTCGTGCGATTCGGACTGCGCGCGGCAAATTGCGCGGCGAAATTCATAACGATTTTGACGACTTTAGCGCCTATTATTGGGGTCTAACTTTCTAGTAGAGTAGATTGGTAGTATCAGCTGACTCTACCTAATTATTCTGTTTCAAGTTTGTGTCCCAACAACAGGCGCCAGAGTCGTTCGAATTGCCACGAACTTCGCCGCGCAATCTGCCGCGCGCGGTTCGAATCGCACGAATGTACACATACCCTTCGCACGCGACTGGCGGGTGTGTGGTCAAGTCGTGCGTCCGAGGGTGCGCGCGGCAAATTGCACGGCGAAGTTCGTGGCGAAGTTGGACGACTCCGGCGCCTACCCTTGGTGCCCAAATTTGAAGTAGGGTAGATTAGTAAGGTCAGCTGAACCTACTATTCTACTGTACTTCAAAATTGGGGCCAAATAATAGGCGCTAAAGTCGTCAGAATAGGTATAAATGTCGCCGCGCAATTTGCCGCGCTCGCCTTCGGACGCACGACTTGACCGTCCCCCGCGACTGGCACCTGGCACCCACCGGTGGGGGGCGCTGTCTCAGGAGAAAATTCTTTCACTGGCTAACTGTATTCAGCAATTGGTAAGGAACAAGAAAGTATGGTGGCTCCCAAAATTGGGTGCCCATGTCTCGTGTGCCAGTCATAGTGGCACCCACCGGGTGCCATTGTCGTCAAAGGGTTAACATCGAAAGGCTATTCTTTATAGGTAAGGTAAATTCCATGTGAAAAGACAGATTTGTTAGAACCGAGACATTTCGTAATTTTATTTATTATAGAGTTGAAAAAGCGTTGTGACCATTTGTAGTTTTGAGGTAGTTAGGACGAGGATGAGTTTCATTTGCATCTGGTTGCATATAGTTGGATACTCGTAGTGTACACAAGATCCACAAGGAAAGCTGCTCGACGTAATTAAGCTGCTTGACGTAATTAACAGTTTTATTCGGTGTCTAAAAACTTCAAAGTGCCGGCCATGAGCCTTCAGTCCCAACTACACTTTATTTTTCGATTTAATTTGCTATATGCTGCTTTGTCATTTTTCATTAACACGATGATGTCACAGATACGAGTCATGGACGGATTACGCCGCCTCCGTCGAGAATCTGTGTTGGCTATATGGCTTATTGCAATATACGTATAGAAGTTGACAGGCTACATGTCTATGAAGGTTAAGGAGAGGGCACACGGACTAAGTAGTTACATAGCACAGTACAAAGTACAGGTTCTGTTGGAGTCGTGGTCATGGTTGTAATTTTAGGGTGTCCTAAAAGTTTTGAGAGAACTCAGCTGGTTTGTTCAACACAAAATGACTACAGCAGTTAAGTTAAATCAGGAATCACGATAGTGGCTCTTCATAGCCGCAGTACCTTCACTCGACGGGACAGGACACTGAGACTATTCCTAAAAAGAGAAAAGGGGCGCGAAGCAGTCCATTCCATTCCGCATTCACCTACTGTAAACTTGGCTTCCTGACGATTGTTAAATCCTTTCCTTCAAAGCAAATCTGTGGGCTACTGAAAGCATGACAGTCATAGTCATGGGTTGTGGTCTAAGCGAGAATGTCGGGAATAGGTAGTTAGATTATCCAAAAATTTTCCAGCTCATTCATCGACGTTCTCACGTGGAGTGCCAGATCGATGTGAAATTACCCATCACCATCCAAAATTTCATTGTAATTGGTGTGAAGTGGGGGCTCGAAACATCATCTTTCAGTTGTTCTCGGAATACTTCTGGTTCACTGCAGTACCCGCTGGTAGGATCTAGTACACGCTGGTGGTAAAACACCCTGTTCAGCAGAAGAATAGTGGGCTCATGTCTTCCTTGGCGTGAGCGCCTCACTTTGTAGCGGGCTGTCGCTTTATGTCCACTGGTAGGCATTGCGACTTCCTATGTAAATTTTCATTTGATATGGTTTCCATCCTGAGCAATAATGAAGTCGGTTGATGTCGACGTTCGCCCACACTCGACGAGCTTCTAACACACACTGACTCGCACTCGACGCTTCTGCCTAGTCATGGAGTGTGGGATATTTGCAGAGCGTCCTCCTCTTGAAGTGGCTCTTGCGTAGCAGGTAGTGGATGGAATGGGTAGAGATAACCATTTCCGTCTCCTGAAATATCAAGGAGGATTGCTCTGACGGCAGTCCAGAACAATGACGGTGTTTGAGGACAGTGGACGAGCTTCGTCGAAGCAAATTTCCTTCAGAGGAAGCGGTCTTGCCATTTATGGTAGATGACAAGAGAGGGTGTACATTTACCCATCACTCACCATTTCTCCAAGATTTAGTATCGTAACATTATTAACTCTCCCTTACCATTTCGTGAAGTTGAAAGGCTGTGTTCTATTGTAATCAATGGCATTCCTGAATCTAAATCTACTAATTTGAGAGAGAGATTGTCATCGGATTTTTATCGTGTTTGCAGTGTATTTGACTTTCTAGGAGTAGAATGTAATCCAGTATCTGTATATAGGATGGGAAAACCAGCAAGACAGAAACAGATTACTGAAAGCTGTTCTTCCACCGCGATTGCTCCAACGAATGATATTGAAGAGAGCGGCTCGTCTTCGCTATTTCCCTCATCGTGGGATCTTCCTTAGGGAGTCCCTTACTAGAGAGGAACGCGAGTGACGACGGGCACTTCGTCAGGGTAGTAAAGAAGGAGAGCACAGATCTCCCACAGTAGGCGATCATAGCTCACTCAGGGATAAGGCGAGGAACAACGATGCTTCCTCCACCTCTCGCTCTGCTCAGAGAAATTAATTTTTCTCCTCTGACTGAGTTGAAGAGCCTCAGTTTTTTCTACTCGAATGTGAGGTCAATCGCAAAGAACTCGATCTCTGTGGAATCCGTACTGTTCAACAGGTATGATACCTATTGTGAAACTTGGCTCAAACCCAGTCATATTATCCCTCCAATCTTGGGGAAAATGTGTGTGGACTACGTCTTTCAGTGGTGTGACCGTAAAAGAAAAACAGGTGGGGGAGTGATGCTTCTCGTTCTTTCTAGACTTTCCATGGCTCCAGTTTTCAAGGAGTCTGTGAAGGATGCATATGAGATACTTTATGTCGACGTCCTGAGCGAGAGTTCAAGTTTAAGGACTATAGTAGTGTACAGGACGCCATCATGTGCCGTCATAAATACTAAGCAGTTAATTAAGGTACTGAGTGACCTCATTGCTTGTAAGCTTCAAACAGTGATTGTTGGAGATTTTGACATTCCGGAAATGTATCACAGTCCTTAGCAGCAAGGCTGATCTAGTCAGCAGTCTAAGAATACTTTCTCTCGTTGGGTGCAGTGAT